TCCTAACAATGCCTACAAGCTAGTGGGTGGTCCAAGCGCCTGAATACCTAATAGCCACAAGGTTATCATTCAATTAGAAATGAATCAAATGTACCCCACAGTCTGATAGCTGTCTAATGTCTAATGGCCCTGGAAACAAATTGAGAAGCTTATAATCATTAAGACAGATTCATCTTGGGCCCTTGAATGCACCGCTGTGACTTACACATCCTTCACATGTTCCAATCTGACCACATCTATACGACTGTGGGCTGTTGTTCACTTGACCCCCTGGAGGTCAGAGGTGGCCTGGTTCAAACAGCTATCACGGCACTGCAGGTCTGCGCTAAGGCCCATAAAAGTGCTGTTTCTTATCTCAACTCTTTGACCTCTCATTAACCCCATCTCAGGCCAACACGTGAATTATCACCTGCCACAAAATACATGTGGAGCTTGGTTTGCTTCGCAGCTCAGAGCGGATGTGGAGCAGTGATAGAGGATGCTACTGGTGTATTGGAAATACTGTACACTCCACCAGATATCCCACAAAGGAACAGAAGTTGGGCTGTAAATCCTGCTGATTTTAGTTGGCATGGTGCTACTCATACTTAAATACTTGAAATCTCTACATAGTTCAAAACCTTACACCTAAAAATACACAGCTGTGGGCTTCTGCCTCACAAAAACAAGGGCTGCTATCACCCACTTAGAATAAATAAGCAGGGCCATCATGAGTAAACTGCTTATTCTAGGATAATGTACGACTAAAATGTCTGTTTGTGTCTGTAACTTTAGTTAGATGGCTAACCTTTGTCTGTTGAGTGTAGTCTTCTACCAGGACCCAAACCTCTTGCCCTGTCACTACTCGAGAAAATGGAATCAAGACATGAATTGTGTGTGCAAAAAGGAAAACTTACTTCAAATATCTGGTGCCACTGGAATCTATGTTACTGTAGACAAACGCTAAACTGTGCATCTCATCAGTTTATGGTCTTGTGTTTTGTCCCATTGTTGGTGGACGGCTGTAGAGTTTGTAGTGCAAAGTGACAAAGTGTATAGGACACAACACTGACAGGGGCTGGTATGGCTGAACCTAGTGACTGCAGGTGCATGTATGTTTCCACTTGACCAGAAATGTTATAAGCAGCATGTTGTAGTGACATGATTATCTACAATTATAATCATTTTCTCTAATGGATTTGCTTCTAAATCATAAGTGTCAGTGAAATCAAATAACTTTGTGTTGTGTACTTTTGTTTTGGTCCAGTGGGTTCATATAAGTGCTACTGTACAATAAGCCACAATAATCATTAAAATTACTATTGTAAAACCAGGAAGACTAAAAAATCTCAGATAGCCAAAATAAATCTCCTTATCTTGAGTGAATAAATACTGTTCTTCCAAAAAATATGTTTTCTAAAGGGTTAACTCACGAAGCCAAACAATAGCAGATAGTGGGATGATGTTTCACCAGAAAATCAGGTGTAAGATAAATAAAGCTTCTGTGGACGTCAGAGACTATGTTTAGAAAAAGTAATTCGTTGTGTACAATTTCCCCCCCAAAAAATAAATAAATAAAAAAATCATTATTATTATTTGTATACTTGTAACTGAATATATAGTATTCAAGTGATATAAGAAAAAGTCAACTTTGCTGACACTATTATTTTGCAGCTGATCAATTTAATGCAGATTAACGGTTCAAGCCATGTGCATTTTATTTTTGTTTGCTAAAAATTTAAAGAAAAAGGATTTATATATTATTGGATCCAGAAATGTTGAATAAAAAAAAAAAAAATTCAACAAATATTGTTTTATTTTAGATAAATCATAACAAATAAGTTTAAGTTACTGGTCATTCAAATGTTTCATTGAGGGAGCACATTTGAAATATCAAAATAGGATATTCATTTGAACCTTTTAGTCTTTAGTATGCAGTTTTGTGGCAACTAAAACTTTGTGTAGGTTACGTGTTGCTCATATCTGAATGTTAAGCCACAACATGATCAAAGTTTAAATATGCTTCATATTAATTCAAGATGATCTATGATCAATATTATTAGTAATTGATGAACAAGAAGGACCGGAAGAATTGCATAGATAAGGCTATGGGAAGCAGGAGCCAGCGGGATGTGGTCTCTGCTCTCTGTCCTTTTCAGAGTAATAGACCCCGGACCTCCGTGTGCCCCTTGCCCATTCTTTTCTTTTCACCTCAGCTTCCTGCGGCGCGGATCATTTTGGGTGGTCCCGCTCGCTGTCCCGTCACAGTATTTCTCGCTTTTCTGACAGCTCTTGCCTCGCACCTGCACCGCTCCCAGGTCCCCCTACACAGGAATGCGCTGGGGCTTGTAATCGCCTTTGTGGGGGACACTGAGTTGGGCCATTGAGTTGTGTTCGGCTGAGTGAAACTTCCCAACCTCACAGCGCGCTGGCCGCTGAATGGGGCGCAGCGTGGGGCGCCTCTCCAAACCCGGTCCGCTGCCAAATTCCTACAGTGGCGCTCCACAATCAGTCCCACACAGGCCCCGTCCAGCGCCAGGCGCGAGGGAGAGGAGGGGGACATGGAACAGGCTCAACTCCGAACTGAACAGTGCGACTGGAGATATTTCAGGTTGTGGTAGACGCTGCGTGTATGGGGGAGATTTGGCCAATGTTTTTTTCTGTATTAGTCTCTCACCTCTTGTCACTTCCAACAACAGAAAATTCTGGGAAATAAAACTAGAAATCGGGGGAGCGTTGGTGAAGCTGTATTGACAAAGTTTGAAAATGAATCAATTTGTGGTGAGTTGGTTGCAGCGTGCACTGTGCAGTGGTGCATTGTGGGCAGATAGGCAGGATTAAGAGGCAGCAAGATTGTTCAACATGTCAACGTGTAATTGCACGATAAGGCCCTTCCGAGGAATCCATTGGCCCCGTTGCTTGCTCTATTCCGCGCTAATCTCGCTCGGCACATTCGCTCTGTGCAATCTGTCTCCATAATCTTCTGTGACAGCGGCGCACGAGCAGCAGCTTGGTAATTTTTTGGGGAGGAGGAGGGGACACAAGGAGGAAATATGCAGAGGCGTGATAAAGTGACGCTAATTATCCCCATTTAGGACAGCAGTGCAAGGGATCGGGGCTTTACAGCAGCCGTGCGCGCAACTGATGGCCTCGCGCACAGCGTATCGCTGGCTACAAGATAAGAGACCTGCGCGCTGGAGAGATTTATTGGCCGGTCAGCCGCTCTCTCGCGCGCCTCACACGCGCACACGGTGACATGTTCAGCCCACTCTAGCCTGTGTCACCTCGAGGTGTCATTTGTTCGGGGTAAATTTGGCAGAACGCGGCTCTTTTGGACCATGATGCGCGTGACGGGCTCCGCCTCTCGGCCTTTTAACACTAATCTGTACCTCTTCCCATCAGCTGATCAAAAAGAAATAGTCACAGCACGTGAGCAAAGCGTGGTTATAGAGACTCGTCCAGAACGCACTTGTCTCCGGACTTCGGGAATCCCACTTACTGTTGTGTTCTATCTTATGAACGCGCACCCCAACTACTCCTGGGGAATTACAACTAAACGTCCCTTTGTTTCAAAGATTCATTTAAAGATTTTTTTAAAGCCCATGTTAGCGCCATTTCAAATTTTCTACAAACAGAGTAAATGTCCAAAAAATGGCAAATTTGATTTGCTTATTATTTGATTAGCTTATTAGCTGATTAATTTACAAAGCATAGATATAAATAATCAGTATGAAATAAATATTGGAGTTCCACTTTGCTCAGTGGGTTAGGCGTAAGTTCAGGAAGCCCAAAACAGTTCCCTTGAAAACGAAGACAAAGCTCAGATTTTAGGTGCAGCAGTGTCAAATATTTGTTGTCCGTTCTCTTTTCAGTTGGCACCAACAGTGAAAAACGTATAGATAAATAAAAATATCAGAGATATTGGTCTAATGTTATTATAACCATTCAGTGTATTAAAAAAAAAAAAAAATCCGGTTAATACAAAATGTTTTTGTCCTTCCCCTTTATAACGTGTGTGAGATGTGAAAATATCACATTAAACAGCCTAAAGCTCCCATAAATATATCACCGAGCCAAAAGGGTCGATGTGTCAAAAAACATTTTTACAAAATCAAAATGGCTTAAACGCATTTGCAACTTAATTTGTTAAAATATTTAGGTTTGTTTATAACCAATGCAACATAATATAATATTTAATGGGATATTCTCAGACAAATATGACACAACAGGAAGGCCTCTGAAAAATGATTTAAGCTGCCTGTTATTGCAAAGATTACAGTTTACAGATTCGCCCTAATGCTTTAGAACAGTTTACAGTACGTTATTCAGACTCACTTGACTTTGAATATATTACGCACAATTACGCACAAACAAAATGGCTTGTGTAAAGCCACACAAGGACTTTTTAAGTGTAAAGCTTGGTGTAAACTCTTGATAGAACTCAGGGTAAGTAAGTAATCACTGCAGAGCCATTTTAAGAATCAAAGCAACATTTTGAAATTTATTCGATTTTCTTCATTGCAATAACAGGCTTTTCACTCGCGGAAAAGCAATTTCATTTACATCAGTAGATGCCCGTCATATTTTAAAATATTAAAATTATTCACAATTTACAATAATTAGTGTTACAATAAAAAGAGATGATTTAATTAAGACACAGGCTTCTGCAAATGAACACAGATGTTAAAGGAATGTTTCTCCCATTTCATTTAAAGCACTTTTCTTGTGATTATGACACGTTTCTCATTTTCAATAACTTACAAGTATACCCCAAAATTATGAAAGCCCCTGGCTGCTGCAACCTTAACTCAGACTGAAACAAGACAAAAAGAAAAAAGATGAGCACAATAACCGATAAGTCAGCGTCTTTAGAACTCCACTGGGGCTCGTTAAAAGAGCTGTGAATATGATTTAGCCTCATAAAGTCCATAAACATTCTGTACAAAATGCAGGTAGCGGCGGGATCGGCCAAATTAGGAAAAGAGGTAAGTATTTGGTTCTGTGCAGTTCTTCAATGAGTCTTAAATATGTGTTAGAGGCACCGTCCCGTTCACTCCCGCCGCGGCGCTCTGGTAGTGCTGCGGGAGCGCGTGCAGTCTGCTTTGCATGGACGCATCACCGGGTTCACTCCCGGGCAGGTACATACTTATCATCTCCCTCAAGTCTCCAGGACAAGGACCACGAGTGTGCGCGCTGCTCACTGGGGGACTCACGCTCGGTTCGGACTTGACCAGAGAACCCAGTGCGCCCATTGCAGAGGAGGACTGGTGCTGAGCGCTGTATGTGATGCTGCCATAACCAGACGGGGAGGCGCTCATGTAGCTTTGAGAGTTCGAGATGGGGCTATACTGGAGCGCGCTCATGTCATAGCGGTGCATGGGCTGCGGGTTGTGCGCGTGGTGGTGATGGGAGTGCGCGTGGTGGTGATGGTGGTGTGCACCGCTCCCTGGGTGCTGGCTATAAGCGAGCTGCGCTTCCTGCATCATTGCAGCGGCAGCCGCAGCGGCAGCCACCTGTCCCGAGTACGCACCATTTGCCCAGCCATTCACATGCGCGTAGCTTGACCCAGAGCCGGCGTGCCCCCCTGGACTCTCTAACCTCTGGCCAACTCCTGATGAGGACATGCCGACCCCAGCACCGGGCCCAGACAGCAGTCCACCAGCCAGGGAGTACTTGTCCTTCTTTAGCAGAGTCTTGGTCTTCCTTCGCGGCCGGTACTTATAGTCCGGGTGCTCCTTCATGTGCATGGCCCGCAGCCGCTTGGCCTCGTCAATGAACGGACGCTTCTCGGCCTCGGACATCACTTTCCACTCCGCACCTAGCCGCTTGCTGATCTCAGAATTGTGCATTTTGGGGTTCTCTTGGGCCATCTTTCGGCGTTGGCCACGGGACCAAACCATGAACGCATTCATTGGTCTCTTTACGCGCTCCTGGCTCGCTTTCGAGCTAGCGTTCGGCCCCGTTTGTCCAGTGTTTGTATTTGTTTGGGGACCAGGGGAGTGGAGGTCCGTTTCCATCATCATGCTATACATTCACCTGCCTTTTAAATTTTGCCACCTACAGAGAAAAAAAAAGTCTTCAAGACTGGAGGCGCGCTGAGATGAGTGCGCGCAGAGCGACTGACCACAAAACCGTTTCTGAAGAAACGTTATTCAAGTCCAAATTAATCCAAATAGTCACAAATGTTGTCCAGTGTGTCTTCTGTCGCTTCACATCCACTGTGGGAGAATGTGCGCTGGAGCCACTTTCTGTGTCGCAGTTGAGAAGTTGCTTGAAGCGGCGGCCATATGATGTGCACTGACAGCGGTTAAATGAGCCACGAGCGGCCAATGGGGCTGCAGCAGCGGACTGATTTGCATGGCGTTTGGTCAGGTGACTAAGAGCGCTCATAGGAAGAGCTCACCGGAGGAGGAGGAGAAGTAGGAGGGCCAATCCCACAAATAGCAGAGAGACATCATGAGAGACTTGAACTAAACCAAAATAACTGTGGTGTGTTTGATTTAAAGAGTGCGCGAAATGCCAAAGGTCTCTATAAAAAAAAATAGGTAAAATATGGTTCACATGCTGCAATCTCTAGCTTTGACAGAAAACCATGGTCTAAGGCCTGCACCGATGGTTAATTTTAAAATTATTTGTACTACATGTTTCTTGCCCTTTTCTCAATACCCTCGACCATACACTCCAAAAAAGGCTACAGGGTCTTATTAAGTAGAAAATAGCCTACACACTGGCAATTGCCTTTCGCCCCGGTGCCGCCGTCTACTGGCGATTTTGCCCCTGTTCCGGGTACTTCCAAACTGGTAAAATGATTATGTAGACTAGTTGATCTGTCATGTCAAAGTGGGGACCAAATAATTTTGCGGGACGTCTTAAATCCCTGTCAAGTAATGCGTTTGCGATCCACCACAAGGTAAAGCATCTTGGCCTCGCGCATATATAATCCACATTTCACAGCTGACCTCCCCTGAAAAGCCCAATCAACCTCTAATTGAAAGGGATAACGAAATACCACTTCCCGCGGCGAGACTAACGATGTAATCACTCAGTTCTATTCACTCTATGATGTTTTATTTTTAATTAGAGCTTCGCGGGACATGCCGTGTGTTTGGGGCCTGAGGGAGCGGGATCTGGACAGATCTGGATCATAATAGGGTTAACACAGTGGTCAATATACCAGGCTCACCAGGCACCGGGCGCGCCTTTAGGGCCTGCATCTAGTCATGAGGAATGAAAGGAAAACTACAGAATACCGGCATGCACAATAGCGCCATCAAATCATAAAACGAATTTTAAAAAAGAAAAGAAAGAAAGAAAAACATTTTGCCTATACTCAAGAGCGTAAAATGTATGACTTCACTAATTTGTTAAATTGTAGGGTAAATGAACACGATTAGGCCTAACGCTAATTGTCTACTATGTTTTTATCCCAACAAAAACAATTAGGCATACATTAACAAGCTGCATTTGTTAAGTGACCAAAAGAGACTGGAAAAAATAACCCACTGAAAAGGAAAATAAGAATAGCAACTAAATAATAATAATAATAATAATAATAATAATAATAATAATAATAATAATAATAATAATAATAATAATAATAATAATAATGTTTCTTAATGATGAAAGTTATCCAATGTTGTATTAAAAAATAGCTTATGTGCTCCTTATCCTTACAATAGGACAGGTGCGTAAAGGGCGATGGGTTAGAAAAACAGCACCCCAAGATGGTTTAAAAAAGGGGCGGACCTTCAGAGAATACGCGCCTAAAATCAAAAGCATGCGCAAACAGGTGCCTTTGACTTTATTAAGTAAAAGTTGCTGATTATCTGGAGGAAAAAAGTGAATTCGTTGTTTAATTATTTAAACGTGTCGCAGAGAGGAAGCACCTGCCTTACAGTCTCATTCCACACACCCCAAATTTCATTAGGAGCCCCCTCCTCTCTCCCATCGTACACCTGCTTTCCTCGCCTGTTGAACATGATGTAACCCAAATACTGACAGCCACAGGGCAACGTTCTGTCCTGCTTGTTAATACTAACCCACAGAACAAAATATTAACTTACTTGGGGAAAAATAATTAAATACTGTAGAAAGCTTTCGTTACGAGAACAACTGTTGCACCAAATCCATATCTTTTAAACCACCGCCTGGAGCCACTAAACACATCCACTGAAGTGAGGGCGCAGAGCCGCTGCTACTACGCACCGCTCAAAGAGCCGCTCACTCTATATTCATCCAAGATATATAAAAGAGTTTACGCACAACATACACTTTCAGTTGACAGTAAATGCAGATCTCACATAGACTTACGCACGTCTCCCTCGTTTCGTCTATTCCAGAGCCTGTGGTCTGATTTGTCCCTCCACACTGCTAAAGCCGTCCTAAGCTTCATGTAAGACCGCTACTCCCGCTACAGTGTGGCCGCGTCGAGTCGAGTGCCAAGGCCGTGCTGCCCGGTGCCCAAACCCACCACTCAACACACACTGAGGGGCAGAGACGAGAAGAAATGACATTTATTATACACTCTAAAAAGAGACAATTCCAACTTATTGTTTCTCTCTCTGCTTCTAACATAATGAAGCGTCTTTTGTGTGGCGCAGAACAATACCAAACAAGTATTCTAATAAATAGCCACTTTTTTTGGCTCTCCAGGATGAATGGGCTGGAGCGGCGGGGTTCTGAAAGGCAGCTGTGCCGCATTCGGGGAGGAGGGGCGACGGCTTGGCGAGGAGCCCGGCCCCCCTCTCCCCTTCCTCGCTCTCTCCCCTCTCCTCCTCCTCGATACTGACTCCCATTTCTGATCAGGGAGCAGAAGAGATGCGAGAGAGAGAAGCTTTTGGGTAGGGAAGTATCGACTTTACAGGCTTTTTAGAGCATACAATGTTTTTTTTTTCTAAAGCAAGGCCTAAACAAAGTCTGCTGTGGGAAGTCCACAGCCACCAATTAGTTTTATAAGAAACACACAGCATGACAGCAGGGAATTCTGACAGCGTCTCAGAGCGGGAAAGCACCATATTGCAACTTGTTTCATAGCAGGCAGCCTACCAAGTAATGCTTTTTGAGACCCAAAATATAAATTTCAATAATCAATATTAAATATTTAAAATAAAAATAAAATCACAGGTTACAAATATTGTAGTATTTCTGTTTCCAGTTTGGATACAAACAGAATACAGAATGTGAAAAACCTTAGATGTCTTCACTAACTGACTGACTGACTGAAGTTTACCGTATGTCTGGTTGCCCTCATGAAATATTACTGATGTGATTTAATGTACGTTGTTCAGAGCAACATGAAGAGCAGTGAAATAATTTCTACACATTTCACAGATGCTCTTTCCCCACTGCCATAAAAGGAAAGAATTGTGCAATACAATACATTAAAATAAACACAATAGTCTTGTCCAGTGTCATTCTGTCATTGGATCCATAATTAACCAATGATGTTAAACCAATCCTTTAATTCTCTTGCTTGCAACAGAAAAAGAGCCAGCCTTAATGCACCCTGGTTTGTGTCACAACATCAAATACACATGAACTCCACAAGCAGGAGATTGACACAAAGTGGTAAAGCTAAGTAAAAGGCCATGTGAAGACTATTAGAGGGGAGAGAGACAGGCAGAAGGATCAGGTCGAGATCAGGCCTAAAAGCATTCAGGCAAGAGTGAGCCAATTGGCTAAAAGCAGAGGTCTTCATACACTACCTCTTCAATGCACAAATCTCCCTAACTCACAAATATAGCATCTTCTATACACTTTCTTTTTGAAAGTGAAATGTAATTCAACTGAAATGTACTCACATTGTCAAAATGTTGCAAAGACAAACCAGGACTAAAGCCAGACTCATCTGACTAACAGCTGAATAACAACAAAATTTTGTACAGTGCAGTTTAGAGGACATTGATGACAGTATGGTTATTATGATCAGGGAAATGACTATTATATTATAATAGTAATATAATTTTACTTGACAGTTTCTTGAGAGACCAATGTTGATATTACTGTAATATCATCCTTGCTATATGTTCTAGCCTATTGCCATTTTGATCTTATGGGGCTACATAGAAATTGCTATTGTAACATGGCAGATACTTAGAAAACCAGTGCTTAGTATTAGTAAACACCAGAGTGCTTTGTGGTCTTTGTGAGTTTTTAAAGCAAAATGCTAACCCCAAACTGCCATAGTGGAAGAGTGCATTTTTGACAGACAGAGCATAACATGCCATTCAAAAGTAGGGCACTCTTGTCTACGAGCAATTTGTTCTTTTGTTACACCATGTGCTCTATTTTCATTTTCTTCTTTTGCTAAAAAATGGTGAGAGAAGAGCATATAAGGGCTTGATGGAGTGGTGAGTCAGAGACAATATGACACGAACAAGTGTGAACGAGGGAAGAAATCAAGAGAGTGAGGGAGACCAGGGAGGCCAATGTCAATCCCACGGCAAACAGCAGTGGATAATCATGGGCTTTAGCAAAACACTGTGTCCATAATGCTATTACCCAGGATTACCTACTCCAGCAGAGCCGCCAAGACGCTCTTCACAATGTGCCACAGACCTTTCAGATAATCATCTTATCACACATGACAAACCCAGAAGAAACATCCCATTATTCACCAATGGAAAGAAATCTGTAGCCCGTTTGAATGAAGACATATTGTAAGCCTAAATTATTTGAGTGGAAAAATATCAGATTTTGAAATTAAGCAGCATCTTCCCCACTCTTCTTCAGTTACATTTCCCAGCAGCACTTTCTCCCCCAATTAGACATAAGATTTTACGCATTGTTCGGCTTATCAATTAGCCATAACACCTTCCCCTCTGTTTGCTCTAATGGTTTTAACAGTCACCAGTTGCAACTCTTAGAGGTGCTGTGCTAATGGTGTCGCCACGGCGATGGAGTCACGGGGAAAGGGAAGAAGTAAGAAGGGGGGCAGCTCTCCCGAACACATCTCTAATTAGAGCTCACAGCCAGTCATTACGGCTGTAATAGGGTGTAACGCTAATGGCTATCAGGCAAGCCCCCACAAACA